ATAAACACTGGGTCATTAAAAATTAATTTAACAAGTAGTCTTTGTGCCTATCTCTTTAAGGGAAAAGAGTATATCCCTTATGATGGATGCCTAGTGGATGGGGACGCAGAAGGTGAATTGGGACAGAGGAATGAAAGGAGCATTTCATTTATCACTTGTGAGCTTCTAGGGAGTTAAAAGAGAACAAGATCTGGATGTGGTAGGACTGTTTTGAAGAAAGCTTGTGAAACAGCCCTAACTCAGGTCAGATCTTAGAGAAGCTGTGAGGGCTGGGGCGTGGGAGTGGCGAGTGGGCACGGATAGCTGTTCCCAGGGCAGGGGGCTGGGTGAGTGTGAAGGAGGCGATAGCAAGCAGCTTGGAAGGGCTTAAGTATTTGCTGACTATATGGATTTTGAAAAATTCACAGGGGGCCAGCTTACCTGCTATAAAAATGCTAGGAAGTAGGAATTCCCCAAGAACCTTTCCCAAAGCCTTTTATTTTTCTGAAAAGCAGTAAAGGCACAGGGAAAAACAAATAGCAAACAGTTTGAGAAGTGTATAGAGGGAAAAAATGTCTCCACCAAAACAGCCCCTTGGCTAGTTTCTTATGTGTCCCTCCGGAATTATCCGCCTGGCCTGGAAAGTCAGCACCTCAAGAAAGGCTGTCCGCCTGCACGGCTGGCTGGCACGTTTGCTTGGTCATTTCCTCTTATTTTTATGCTTATTCATCCTGTGGCCTGTGTTCTCCTTGACATGCCTATTTTTTTTCCATCCTCCTGTGGGGAGAGATAACATTCTCAGGACTTAATTCTCATCTGATACGTTTTATTTTTAACCAACCTCTGCATCCTCTCCTCTTTGCATCTTATTTTCACGAGCCTTTTCTGCCTTTTTTCTCGGCCTTTCCTGGCTTCCTCAGAAGGTGTGAGCAGAATGTCTGGTTACAATATATCATGCCAGATCAGCTAGCTGCTCAGGTGCTGGGAACCTGGCTCCGCTTTTAGGGTCAGGGTAACTTTCTCCTCTGCCCAGGTTCCTGCCTGTTTTAAATTGGGCAATTCACTCTTATCTTCTCCTTCCCCTCTGGGTTATCTGTAAATTTCCTTTTGTCAGTAAATTTATCTTATCTTGATGAAGGAAACATGCCTAAAAAAACAAGACTGGCTGTGACTTGCAGTGATTAGCATGGACCGATTCTCCCTTGCAGCCACTTAGGGCTCCTACAGTGTGACAAAGCCACGACTTGACATGATGATTCTTGGATTGAGATGAATGAAAGCAGCTAGTGTCCACTCAAGAGAAGGGAAAGGGTTTTGTTTTGCTTTGTGTGTCACGTGACCACCAACTGAGGCTTTCCCAGACAAGTATGTTAGGAGTAAACTGATCGCAGCTATGTAAGTACATATACATTCTTTGTTTTTCTTTTTAGCCTTTGCCCTGCCACTCCCCCCACCCCAAATATGACTAAATATGGTTATGGCTTAAAGTTTTCCAACTAACACTAGGGCGAAGAGAAAGTTTTTAACCTGAGAGGGAAATGGAGTTTGCTGTGACTGGCTGCATTCCCCAGAGAGGGTTGTGCCTGGGAACGTGCTTTATTCTTGAACTTCGTGGCCTCCAACTGCATTTTGTTCTCAGTGGACCAGTTGTCTCTCAAGCATCACTTAGCTCTGTCATGTGTCACGTATATAGTCACGATACATTTCTTATAACACTGTAATAGGCACTTGGAAACAAAAGCTAAAAGCAAACAAAAAGATCCATGATGTAGCTTCATAAGATGGAAGACTAATATCAAAGGATCTAAGAATACTACCACTAGAATGTAAGCACTTTATCATGTACCAACCGGGATCCCAGGAAGCAATAGATGGCACCTACAAATTAGGGTAATTGGAGGAGAGTTAAATAAAGGAACTTTTTACCAAGGTCGGGAGGGTATAGGGAAATCCTGTAGTACCCAAGGCTATGACAGCAGGTGATACCCGCCCCCGCCCCAGGCATGATGGGGTGCAGAAAAAGAGGAGAAAGAAGCATAACCAGAAACAGAGGCTGGGTAGAGAGGCTCCCTGGCAGGAGGAACCCAGCCAGCCTATGGGACCTTGCAAGAAGGCAGCCAGGGAATAAACACCCCATCCTCTACTTTTCCCTCTTCAGACCTGCTGGAGCACACAGCCTAAGTTAAGCACATGTAGAAATCATCAGTCAACTGAGCCCATTGGCAGAGATGCGTATAAGGCTCTGGTGGCTTAGAGCAGGGGCATAAGGGTGGAGAGTCTGGAAGGGCAAAAAGAAGATAGTTAACACAAAAGGTCTCCTGAGTTCTATACCATCCAGCCCCGCCTACCCCCTCCCCGCCACCCATAGCTTATCTTATTGCTCT